ACGGAGAGAAGCAGTGCAGAGAATTTCCCTTTCCCCTTCGATTCACCGGCGCAGGGGGGATGCACGAGACGAGCAGTGAAAGGAGAAACAGGGATTTGGGAATGTTTAGCGAAGAGGAAAGAAACGTCAAGGACTAAGCAGGGGCTCTTGCACCTCTCTGCTCCACAGGAATATTTTTCCAGAGCAGCACAGGCAGAGAGGGAGTTGCAGGTGCTCGACGCAGGGTTAGTGTGGTGCTGACAGGTGACAACGTGTCCCGGTGTTGGGGACAGCTGGAGGAGGCACATCCAGCCCTCAGGCAGGGCCACGGGAGTTGGTGCTCAGGGGAAGCACAAACGTTGATTTCTCAGCCCCGGGGAGACAGGGAAGGGGTTAACGGGCATCGGAGAGGAGCATTGGAGCTGCCTGCGCTCCTGCAGAGCTTCCCGAAGGGATGGAGCCAGGCTGGGGTGGGAACAGCACTCCCCACAGCCGGCCTGGCCTCGGCCAGGGGCTGCTGAGCCTGGCGGGGGACCCCAACCTGACGCTGCTGCACACCCGGGACGAGGAGCTGGCCAAGGCAGAGGTCGGGGTGCTGGGCACCATCCTGGCCATCGCCACCGTGGGCAACGCGGGGGTGCTGCTGGCCATGTACCGCCTGCGGAGGAAGATGAGCCGCATGCACCTCTTCATCCTGCACCTGGGGCTCACCGACCTGGGCGTGGCGCTCTTCCAGGTGCTGCCGCAGCTCGTCTGGAAGGTGACCTACCGCTTCCTGGGGCCGGACCCCCTCTGCAGGGCCGTCAAGTACCTGCAGGTGCTGAGCATGTTCGCCTCCACCTACATGCTCATCGCGATGACCCTGGACCGCTACCTGGCCGTGTGCCACCCGCTGCACACCCTGCAGCAGCCCACCCGCCAGGCCTACGCCATGATCGGGGCCACGTGGCTGCTCAGCTGCCTGCTCAGCCTGCCCCAGGTGTTCATCTTCTCCCTGCGGGAGGTTCGCCCGGGCTCGGGGGTGCTGGACTGCTGGGCAGACTTCGGGTACCCGTGGGGAGCCCGCGCCTACATCACCTGGACCACACTGTGCATCTTCGTCCTGCCCGTCGGCGTCCTCACCGTCTGCTACGGCCTCATCTGCTACGAGATCTGCAAGAACCTCAAGGGCAAGACCCAGAGTGGTGCCCCCGGCCCGGGGGGGTCCGCGGGGGCTGCCCCTCCTGCCCCCTGCCCCCCGGAGAAGGGCGGGCAGCCCTCGCGGGTGAGCAGCGTCAGGACGATCTCCCGCGCCAAGATCCGCACGGTGAAGATGACCTTCGTCATCGTGGCCGCTTACGTGGCCTGCTGGGCGCCCTTCTTCAGCATGCAGATGTGGTCAGTGTGGGATGAGGATGCCCCTGATGATGGTGAGTGGTGGTGGGCACGGGGGAGCTGTGCAGGGCGGGGGCAGAGCCTTGGGAACACGCAGGGGGCCCGTTGAGTTTTTAACAAACTCAAAACAAGAGCTGTCTGTTATTCTGTCGTTTTTTAAAAAATCACAGGTTTCCTCCCCAGAGTCAAATCATTCCTTTCATCAGAAAAACCACTGAAAAATAATGATTTCTGGCCATTATCCACAGGGACGGGCAAAGATGTGGGAACACCCGTGCCGTGTCCCTTCCCTCGTGTAGGAATTCACAGAGGTGTCATAAGTGTGTTTCTGATTTTATGGGTTGATTTATTTTTTTTCCCCTCTGGAAATTTTCAGTGGCTCTCCTAGCCTTTCCATGGGTAGAAGGAACTTTATCTGAGGTCAAAACTCCTCTGGGAGACACTTTGGCCAGCAAACAGGCTGCAGGAAGATCCAAAAGCTGCTGGGTCTCACCTCCCAGAAGACTCCCTGAGGATGTGCTCTGGAACATCCCCACTGCAGAACATCACCCACCTGAACCCTCTGCCAGGGGTAGAGCCTGGCTCTGCCTGCACGCTGCAAACCCTCCTACCTAAATAGATGCCAGTGAGCTGGGATGGGAATGGGGCAAAGGACAAGCGCCCAAGTCAAAGAGAGCCCCCAGGTCCTGCCCACTGCGACCCTGCCCAGCCCTTGTGGAGGTTTCATCTCTCCCTCTTGCCTCCCCAGAGTCCACCAACGTGGCTTTCAGCCTCACCATGCTGCTGGCCAGCCTCAGCAGCTGCTGCAACCCCTGGATCTACATGTTCTTCAGCGGGCACCTTCTCCAGGACGCCGCCCGCTGCCTGCGCTGCCGGGGCGGCCCCCGGGCGGGGCTGCGCAGACCCGCCTCCACCGGGAGCCTCTGCAGCCGGAAAACCACCATCCTGAGCCACAGCCACCACGCCAGCCCTGCCAGCCTCCCCCTGCACGGGGGCAGTGCCAGGGAGCTGTACCCACCCTGCGAGGAGGGGGTGACGGAGTCGGGCACGCTCTGAGATCCCGCGGTTACCGATGCCCGAGCACGTCCCTGCTCTGCCACACCAGATGTGACACCACGAGCTGTGTGTCACGGCGGCTCTCCCCCCCCCCAGCTGGTAGCGTCTCATTTTGCAGAAATCTGAATGTTTAACCCAGAAAGCACCGCTGTCCATCTTGTCCTTGCTGCTGCACACCCTGTGAGCATCGAGGGGGGGATGGACAGAGCCCCTCCAGGCACTGCCTGACCACAGCACCCACCCCCCCGGGGCTTTAGGCTGCTCTCCTGCAGGAAGAGGATGCTACATCCTCCGGGAAGAGGATGCTGCACCAGCAAAATCTTCCTGGAGGGACTCGAGCTTTTTGTGTTTCACAGATGCCAGCAAAGCAGCCTGAGCACGGCAGGAGGCAACGTGGCTCCATCTGCTCGAGAGCTCCCCGTGAGTTACTCATCTCCCATCCTCAGGGCTTTGCTGGCCGAGCAGACAAGCGGGACAGAGCTCTGCCCCTCCCTGGGACACAGCACACTCACCCCTCCGGGCTGCAGAGCGTGTTCCTCTGCTCACAGGCACGTCTGGAGCTGACCCCCTGCCCACCTCCCCGGGGCCAGGGAGGGGCTGGAGCAAAGCCACGGGGCAGACACGTCCTCTCCTGCAGTTCCCAGCTGTCCTGCATCGAACTGTGCCTGTCTGAGGGCCGAAATGCAGCACTGACACCCCCAAGGAGCTGCTCGGAGCAGCCCCGGCCCCGTTCCAGCTCAGATCCCGCTTCCCGGCGATCCCCAGCACTTCCCATCAGGTTTACTCACAGCCCCCAACCCCTGTGTGGGGCTGCTCTGGCTGTTCAACATCTGCTGCATTCCAGTGCAGAGCTGCTCTCAAATTGCTGCTGCTTTTGTCTTATTTAGCAGGGATCAGGGTGCCAAAACCACCCAGAGCTCAGACACGGCCTCAGGGAACTGGGGAGCACAGAGGAGGGGGGGTCTGGAGCAAGCCATGGCCTTGCAGTCCCAGCCTGGCCCCTGCTCTTCTTCCTGTTCATTGAAGGTATCCCAAATGCCCCATTTGTGTAAGAATAAAGGATGAATGAGGCAGGAAAGAGCATCCATTTGCTCTGGGAGCCGAGCTCAAAAGCTGCTGATGGTGATGTACAAACGTCCCAGCAAAGGTACCAAATCCCCTGTGAGCAATGTGTGTTATTCTTTCTATTATCCCAGGCTAAATCTGTAAAAATAACACATGGAGTAAAATATTTTGAAATCTTACATTATTTTCCCTTTTTAATCACCAGGCATTTGAATCAGATTTCCCAGAAACTCCCACTGCCTGGTTTTGGCCTCACCTCCAGTTCCACAACCACACCTCTCCTGGCCTCTAGTGATGTTTCCCAGAGATGGGTTTGGGGTTCTGAACGTTTTCCTTCATGTGCCCTTCAAGTTGGGCCAGATCTGCACAGCAAGGTTATAAAACCAGGAGTGCCTGACCCCCCCTCCCATGATCAATACCCAATCAATTGTCTCACAACCTTTCATTAAAGCACTTTGCTGCCGAGCTGATTTGAAATGCACTTGGGGCAGCTCCATCCCTGAGGAAGGGGGGGGCTGTGCTGGGAGGCAGCAGCTCCATCCCCCTCACAAAGAGCTCACAGCTCCACACTCCCCATTCCCAACGTTTTGGAATTTTATTTCTTTAATAATCCTGGGTAACAAAATGCAGAGGGAGGAGCAAGGACATCACCCAGGTGGGGAGAGGCCGACCCAGGCACTCAGGGCATCAGGTGCAGGGACAAAGCAGGGAAAGCAAAAGGTGGGAGACAGGGAACAGCATTCCTCCCCACAAGAGACAGAAGGATTTGACTTGACTGCACTCACGTGGAGAGCTGTATCCCTCAAAAGCCAGAAAGACCAGAACCCCCTGAGCAGGGGGGATATAAATCCCCTGGGATCCCTTTGGACATTTCCCAGCTGGGTTGATGACTGTGGCTTTCATCTGGGGGATGAAGCTCCCCCTCCCTCCTGTCCTGGTCCTGGCAGCCCCCTGGATGTGTGGCCAGGGGTTAAGATGCCCACGTTGCCACCCCAACCCCAGTGGCAGCTCTGAGAGCGACGGGGACTTGGAAATATTTTGAGCATCAAAGCAAAGGGGGTGCAGGGAAGGGTGATGGATCAGGGCTTGTCAGGCAGCAAGGGCAACACAGATGGAGAAACTGCATTTAACAAGATTTCATGAGGGTGATCAGCAAAACAAGCATCATTCAGAGGAGCTGTCAGCCAGTCTGGGTGGGTATTTTGAAGATCACTGCGTTTCCCTCCCTGAACTACGTCCCATTTCGAGGGGCTGGGGGGGGGAATGTTTCATTTGCTTTCACGAAATGACAAAAAGGGCCATCACACAAAACTGGGGAGCACATTTCAGCCTGGGTGGGAGCAACACTTCCATGCACCACCCCACGCTCCGGGAACAGCGACGCCTTTAAGTAAAATGCCAAGTAAAGTGCATTCCTTGTGTGGCAAGGAATAAGAGCTGCAGGCATCAGCCTGTGCCAGGCACTGCCCGAGGGAAGGGGCAGCCCTGGGGGTGCAGCTGTGCATTGACCAGCAGCATCCAGGGTGTCACAGCTTCACCTCAGTGTACTCCACAGGCTTGGATGCCACGGGGCTGGAGCAGGGCCAGAGATGTGCTTTCTTCTTCTTGGGGTCCACGTTGACATAGTCAGTCCCAGTCTTCATGTTCTCATAATCCTTGGCAGACTCTGCCCCACGGCCTTTCCCTGGGAAGACCAGGGATGTGTAGTTGATGTTTCCTCCTGAGCCTTGGCCCTGCAGAAGCAGCACAAACCCCAGGTCAGGCCCCAGCACCCACCTGGGGGGGCCTTTGCCCTGAACCCACTCAGAGGTGTTCACCCATTCATAGAATCATGGGATGGTTTGGGTTTGAAGGGACCTTAAAGCTCATCTCATTCCACCCCCCTGCTATGGGCAGGGACACTTTCCACTAGCCCAGGTTGCTCCAAGCCCCGTCCAACCTGGCCTTGGACACTTCCAGGGATACAGGGGCAGCCACAGCTTCTCTGGGCAACCTGTGCCAGGGCCTCCCCACCCTCACAGGGAAGATTTTTTCCTAATATTCCTAATTTCCCTACCATGCCCAATTGCACCCAAGGATCTCCCTGGTCCCTGGGGATGTTTCCCTCTAAATGGGGAACGCTGCATGTGGCAGAGGACAGCCACCACCCCAGCACCCCTGATGGAATCTCAAGATGATTTGATGCATTTTCCCCACCCTCCCAACCCTGGTGCTGCTCTGGGGGTCTCGAGCCAGGCAGGAGCCACATGGAGTCAGTGCTGGCACCTCCACTGCTGGGCTGGGGCCGTTCTGGCAGAGGCTCTGTGCCCAGGGCTGTACCTGTGGGCAGGAAGGACTGTCAGATGAGTCCGAGGAGGTGTCCGAGGAGGTGTCGCTGCTCCCTGAAACACAGGAGACATCACCACCAGCAGCCCTTCCCAGGGGGTTACAGGAGTGAAAACTTAAAATCCAAAAACCATCAGTGGGAGCCCTCCCCACCCACCCCTGGCCCGTAGGAAACCAGGCAGGGAAAGCCTGGGGAGACAGGAGGCAACTGGGCTGGTGAGTGGCTCTTGTGCCAGCCCTTTGCTGGCTACTTGCTCCTGTGGCCACCTCGGGGTCTTCCCAGCTCGGAAGGGAAGGCACATCACACAAATGCCAAGATAAAGTTCCCATCCCAGCACCAGGACAAAGCCCTGTTGCTGCAGGACCCCCCCTTACCTGCATAGGCTGGTGCTGGTTGTTGTGCCTTGGCCCCTCCTGCTGATGGGGTGGGATCCGGGGTGGGCTGTGCCACAGGGCTGCTGGACCCCTGCATCCCATGGGAATGCTGGGCTGGGACCGAGAGGAGAGTGAGCACCTTGCCCTGGCTGTGCCCAGTGCACCCCACACACCACATGGACCCCCACCCTCTGCAGGAGCCCCAGCACTGCCCCACAGCAAACCCCCATAATTCTTGCTGTGTGCTGGGCACAGATCCATCAGCTCGGTTATGGAGATGATTCAGTCGTGCCCTGCTCTGCAGGGAGAGGCTGAAGTGTTCAATCACAGCATCAGGGCCTCTCCTTGCGAGTTTGGAATGAGTTTGACCCCAGTGGCCAAGCAGGGCTGGATTATGTACAAATGTGACCAGCAGTTTTGAGTGAAAGACTTTCCTGCCGGAAAATGGAGCTTCACTGGAAATAATGTGCTGTCAATGGATTCTGGTGGGGTTTTCCCAGCACTTCACTAACAAGAGCAATGAAAGAAAATGGTTTTGAAATAACACAAGGTTGTATAACCCTTGCTGATGCACTCACGGAGCCTGGACCCCAGCACAGCACAGTGAAGCTGGTGCTCCATCCCTGCCCCGACCCTTTCCCATTCCACACCGGGGCCCAAAAAATGAAAAAACAAACAACGGGACAGTAAATTACCTATTTTCCTGCTGAGCATGAAGTAAAGTGACAGCAAGAGGAGAGCATACAGGAGCAAAGTGACAGCTGAGATGATGACAAATATCCACCTGAACAAGAGAAAAGTATTTTGTCCAGCTGAAATTGCAAAATTCTTTTAAATCTCTCAGGTACTCTTTGGCTGCTGCTGGTTCAGGACAAAAGGGTTGCTGGTAGTTTTGGGGTTTGCTTTTTGTCTTTAAGGCAACGTGCCCCAAAATCCGGGGCTTGGTTTACAAGAATGACTTGTGTTCCTTGCACTTTATTTTTGGGTGCCTGTCCTCAGAGGGGTTTTTGAAACCTTCATTGCCAGTGGGGGTGTGTGGTGCTTGAGGGAAGGGAGAAGTTACAGATATTATAGAATTATAGAATGGTTTGGGTTGGAAGGGACCTTTGAAACTCATCCAGTCCAACCCCCTGTTGAGAAGGGACATCTTCAGCTAGACCAGATGGCTCAGAGCCCCCCAGCCTGGCCTTGGATGTTTGCAGGGCTCCTCTCCCAGGGTGTTGTACTCACCACTCACAACAGATCATTCTCCTGGTGAGGCGTCTCCGAGGTCTTGGGGGAACACAGAGAGGCAGCAAGACCTGGTGGCAACCAACCAAAATGGTCCCTCTGAGCTTCACGCTGCTCCTCACAAGCTGAAGATCAGCCTCAGCACTTGAGAGAGGTGGTTGGACCTTGCAGATGTAAAATAAAGGCCCCCAGCCCTCCCTCTGTGTGAGTCCTCCTCGTTCACACCCTCACACGGCCACAGGCTCTCCCTGCCCTTATCACTGAGCTTAATGGCTTTATAAACTGTCACCTCAGTCCTATCTGCTCCTTGACAGGAGCTCCCGGGCTCCACTGTGGCCCTGAGAGCAACAAGAATTGAAATTTATTCTTCTCGCTTTAATCCTCTCTCGTGGTTCTTTCTTTCTGTTTTCTCTTAATCCACCAAAAAAAAAAAGAGAACTATAATCTGAAAAAAAAATAAAAAACATAGAAGAAAGTAACCAGAAGAAGGCTGTGGGTTGGTGTGAGGCTCTTGCATCAGTCAAGGTCCAGACAGAAATATCAGAGGCCCTTCATCACCTCTCTGTCTGAGACACCTCAGGTTTAATTCTAGGTGAGCACTTAAATCCTGGTGAAGTTAAGAGGGTTTAAGGCAGAAAATCAGAAAACACAAACGCCTGAGCTGGGCCCCTTGGCTTGGGGCTTTTGGCCATAACACTCTGGAGGTTTATAATAAAGGATGGCAACTGAGGGGTTCATTTTGTGAGCTTTCACTTGCATAAAATCACTTCAAATTTTCACTCGGTGCCTGTAAACTCTCATTTCTGAATGGCTGACAGGGAGAGATTTCAACTGAAGCTTTGATACAATGATTAAAGAAGCCACGATGATATGGCTGATGGACTGATAGATTGATGGTTACAGCAAAGGCATTATCCATCCTATGGATCAGATTCTATAATTTCCTCTATGACACGTTTCTCAGTGCAATTCATCAAAAGCTTTTCTGATAACCACCACTCTCCTGTGAAATCCCACTTACCCAAACAGTCTGGCAACAGCCAAGCTAAAAGCCCATTCCTTGCTGGAATCTTCCCCCTCCCTTACTGAACTGCTCTGTCCCCAAATATCCTTCTCAGGGGGGCTGCCATTCTTAAAAGGCTCATTTCCTACCGAGGGGCAGGAGATGCTGCTGGGGCAGATAACGATCTGAAAAACGAGCTGCTCAAAAGGAAATTGCAAAATAAGACCCAAATCCAACTATCAGGGGCGGGCAGGCTCTCTGCTGAGCTGGGGATGGCGAGATGGAAGCGCCGATATGCGAACGCGTTATCGAAATCTCTATTTGGAGAGAGCAGCCAGCCAGAGCCTGGCAGCACATGTATTTTTTTGGTCTATCAGGTAATTTCTGTTGGCCTCCAGCCCTCCAACCCCCCAGGACACGAACTTTTTCTCAAGCAAGGTGCTGTGTTGGAATCAAGGCCTGCAAAGAGCTGCTCCTTGGCCGCTTGCCGACATCAACGCAAGACGTCTACGCTCCATGTAAAGGTAAGAAAAACCACCAGAACGCCTCAAATTGTTTTAATCCCATCAGAGTCAGGCCTAGCTGGCCCAGTTTAAGGCCAAAGCCCAGCCTGGCAGTGGCACATGCCACCTTTGGACGTGGACACCCAACCCAGCTCTCCTCCTGCTGTTCCGAGCGTCGCATCCAACGCCCGGCGGAGCGCGAGACCCAGCGGTGATTTACCTGGGGCAGCAGAGCTTTCCACACCTCCTTCCTGCAGGGCTGGGGCAGCTGGAGCCTTGGAAGCAGCAGGATTTAAGGATGTTTCAGGATCTAAGGATGTTTCAGCAGCATTTTCAGTGCAGCCGCAGGGTCCGGCAGCTCAGAGCAGCTCGGGGCCGGATGCGGTCACGCTCTGCCCCCCTGGCGAGGGCAGGAACGAGCCCACAGCAGGTTCCATGACGCCTCCCCCCTGTCAACAGCCTCATTTAAATATATTTGGGTGTTTCTCTGCTGTTCTGCAACCACTTTGCTCCGGGGTTTGGGACCCTGCACTGCTTGACCGGGTTCTGCATCTTGCTCCGTCTTCCAACAGCTTTGTGCTAAAACGCAGCTGAGCTTCCTTGGAGCAAAGCTGTCCTGAGGGCAGGGAGCCAGCTGCAGCCCCCAGCAACTCAGCTGCCACCCAAAAAGTGCTCTGGGTGCTTCCAGGTAAACATCTTGCACAGGCATAAAATATTTTACCTCACAGGGGATGTGGTCCCAGCACCTCGCACGGCTCCGTGTCTGCTGAGGGTGGATGGGCCTCCACCTGCCCACGCTCTGGAAAGTTTTCTGGCTCAGGAATAACTTGCAGCATCACTTAATAATGATGGGGTGCAAGCAGCAGCCTGGCAGACCCCTCCTGATGGTTCCCACCAGATTTAGGGAGGGCTGGGCCCCTGCTCCATGGGAACTGATGATGTTGCAGCTCTCACACTGAGCCAGAGTTTAGGTGCTGGAAATTCCCTGCAGCAGCCTGGCCTCTCTTGTGTTTTTTCCCTGGAAGGAGACAGGTCAGGAACCCTTTTTGCAAAGTCCCTAATCATGGGGATGGCACCTGCTGGCATTTCAACATCTCCATCACCCTCACAGCAATCCTCTCCCAGGGAGAAAACATCCCAACATCCCAGTGAATCCCCTGGACCTTCTAAAGGCAAAGAGAAGAACAGATCCCGAAAAGAACTACATACCCCAGGAGCTGCACCACAAATTGGGGTCTCCTGCCACATCCCCACCGTGGGTCAGTCATTTCCCACATTCCCCCTCATCCCCTGGAACTGCAGGATCATGAGCTCCATCACCAGGAGATGTTAGTCCTGCTCTACCCACGACTGCTGCGCCACAGGTAAATATTTAACTGAAACTCGCTTGTTTGTTGTTTTTTTTAATGTGAGTGTTTGCTATCGCAGCATTTCTCTCTTTCAAGTGCTCGGTGACGGATAAACAGATTAACAGGTGGGAGAAGTGTTTGGTAAACGGAGGAAAAAAAAAGGCTTTTTTAGAACACGCTGCTTGGGCGCGATTTGAATCAGCCAGAGCTCGTCGTGGAAGTGGCTACACTAAAGGAAATGCATAAAAAGGAACCCAGATAACATATTTTTAGCCTCAGAGCAGGTTTCTCACACGAGGAAGGCTCCATACACAGAGCTGGCAAAGAGGTGCATTTTCCACCCAAGGTGCAAAATGTATTTCTGAGGCACCTGAGGGCAGGTGTGTGCAGCTGAGAGGGTGAGACACACCTTGGGCCAGCCCCTGCCTGGCAGCAGTGAAGGGCTGCACAAATATCACTTACCAGACCTGGGATGCTCCAGGAGCTTGAGCCACCTTTAATCACATTTCTGTGGGGTGTAAGAGCTTTTTCTGCTGTTTTGTTAACAAGATGGATCCAAAGTGTCATAAATAATGCTAAATAGTGTTGTAAATAATGTTGTGTTTGTCTCTGTCACTCTGGGCTGAGTCCCAGGAGCAGGCAGGGATGGGCAGCACAGGCAGGGACAGGCAGGGACAGGCTGATCCTGAAGAGGTGAGGGGCACCATGGGTTGAAAACTTCCCCCTGCAAACCCAGTGTATTCCACATATTGAGGTACAGCTGAAAGTACACATGAATCAAAGCCTTTTTGTCCCAGTTTTCTGGGCAAATATGGCCGAGTTGCTCCCAAAAGACAGAAAAAACCCCCCCCATTTTGCTCCACTTGAAATAAAAATGTCGATGCACTTTTGAGAATTTAGCTCTTAAAACTCCTTCTAAAACAGCTAAAAAGTAGAAATAATTTTGCTTCACTTCAAAAATTTCTAAATGAAAGGTTTGGCCCTCTTTATGACTTTCATGTTCGCATTTTCATGCTGAATCCGCTGTTACGAGTTTGCAGATTATGATGATCCAATTGGGGAACCTTTTGAACAAAATAAACCATTTCACTGCAAGTGTTTGGCGTGTCTGTGCTACAGCTCACCCTCACGTTTATCTCTGAAGCCCAGTGACCCTTCAGGCTGGGTTTTCTGACAGGATTTTCGGGTTATAAACCATGTCTGGAACAATCCACTTGCTGCTTTCAGCTGATCTGGCACTTGCTGCAGCTGCTTTTGTTTTAGGAAGTTTCCTTTTAATCCATGAATATATGATTAGGATGAGAGGGGAAATACATTAAATACATAAAGTACATTAAACTGCATCTTAAAAGGGAAACACATAATAACTTGGTGTAAAGCTACTCAGTAAAAAAAACACTGCAGCCACCAGTCTGGGCACAGGGAAATGCAGGGAATTTTCATTTGACTGGGAAAAATATGTCAGCATCTGCCATCAGCATCCACTCTGCCTTGCCCTGCATCTCCCTGCTTATACCAAAAAATTTGATAAGATTTTTTTAAGCTTAATCTCCTTGCAAAGCTGCGGAGAGGAGGAGCCTTGGAGCATCTCCCAGGGGCAGAGACACAATTCCCCCCAAACAGGAGGCACAGCTTGGCCCTCTCACAGCCCCATTGGTACCTGGGCCTCACAGGTGAGGACTTTTAATTTCCTGGGGGAGGGCTTTAACTGGATAAAACAGACTAACTGGGATAAACAAAAAATTGATTAGCACAGTGCTAAGGGTAGAAACCCATTAAAGAGCAAAACACCTGAGTAAAACACCCCCTTTGTGGCCCCCACCATTAGTGCCACGAACAGGGAAAACAAGGACAGCACAGCATCATCCCTGGCCTGAGAGATGGTGGCAGCAAGAAAACCCTTTCCTCCCCCCATTCACTTCCCCACTCGCCTCCCCTCGTATCTGAAGGCTTTATTTGTTCATCAGCATTTTCTGTTTGCACTCAGAGGCTTTAATGAGACGCCCGTCCTGGGTTAAACAAAACTCACAGGGGACGAGCCCATTAGTGGCTGTAAAGCAACAGGGAACTGTCTCCCGTGAAAAGCCACTTCTTCCTGGCACCGACTGCTGTTTCAAAGGGAAAGCTGGAGATTCCAGAGCAGTCCATCACCGCTAATTAGTGTTTTCTTTTTAGTTTGGTGGCTGCCCTGATGCTACAAACGCATCCTTTTCCTGCACTCCCTGCAGCTGCCGGGGTTTGGGGCACCTCATGGCCACGGGAAGGTCCCTGGAGTGGGGCTGTGGGGCAAAGGAGAGGGGAAACGCTCCCCCAGAGCATTTTGGGGAGACTTCCACTGGCTGTGTGATCACCAGCGGGCAGGGACTGCTGTTGGGATGAGCGCCCCTCCCGTTCCCACTGCGGGAGACCTTCCCTTCCCGGCACAGCTCCCTGCAGGTCCCCCCCCACGCCTCCCTCACCCACAAAAGCAAACCTGACCCCGCAGTGCCCGTTCTGCCTCGCCTGGGACGTGGCCAGTGATTCATGCCCGGTGCCCGAGCGCGGTGTTGACTCTGGCAGGGGCGTTATCGCGGGCGCCGGGCTCGAGTGGCCCTGGGGGTATAAGAACAACCTGCAGAGCCCAGCGAGGCCACTGAGCCACCAGCATGAAGCGCCTCCTCCTCCTCGCCATGCTCTGCCTGTCCCTGGCCAGCGGCCTGAAAAGGTAAGGGGGTCCCCGAGCTGCACCCCAACTCCACAGGCTCTCGGAGGGGTTTTGCTCTTTGGGTGCTGCCAGAGCCGTGATGAGCGGGCAGAGCTGAGCTCCCCCGGCACAGACACCTTGTGCTGGCACCACACCACGGTTTCTGGTTCCTCACATCCCTCTGGGTAGACCCCCTCAGCAGCAATGGGATGAGGTGGGGTGTGTAAACAGGGTCTGTGCGAGCAGACAGGGCAGAAAGCACCGGCGTGAATTCCCCTTGGCCCTGCTCACCTCCCCCAGCCTGAAGGCCCTTTCCATCAGTCACGTTGAGCTCCTGCCCGTCCCGTCACTGCCAGGACGTGCATCCTCCCCTGCCAGCTTTGCCCTTGATTTGTTGCCTCCTAAAACAGATCCAGTCCCCCCCTGTGTTGCTGTGCCTCATCCGGAAGGCTCTGCAGTGGGGGATGTGGGGAAACAGGCTCTGGACCTGCATCCTGACTGTGCTGGGACCCTCAGGGTGGGCACGGGGGCTGCAGGACTCCAGCAGCACCCACGGCCCTGTGTGAGTGACCAGGACCCTTCTCCCCCAGGGTGCCCCTGACGCGGCGCCGCTCCCTGCGGAAGCTGCTGCGGGAGCGTGGGCAGCTCTCCCACTTCTGGAAAGCCCACGGGCTGGACATGGTGCAGGACAGCGAGGACTGCGCTGCCTTCTCGAACGCCAACGAGCCCCTCATCAACTACCTGGATGTAAGCAGGGCACAGGAGTTTGCCTGAGCAGTCCCCAGTGCTTCCCAGAAATCCCATGCCTGCAGCAGTGCCCGGCGTGCCAGGACTCGCTGCCTGCCCGTGCCTGCCTGGCCCTTTGTTCCCGGGAATGTGGCGATGAGGACAAGGCAGAGCATTCATGGCAGGCGCTGCCAGCCCTCTCCCTCCCTGCTGCATTCCCCCCACCCACAGGG